CAAACAACATCGCACGACGGTTTAAACAAGTCCCAGCGATGACAACTGATGTTGAAACCGAGTGGCAGCTCTTTAAGAACGGCATACTCGAGGCTGCTGCCGAATGTTGCGAATTTTAACGGGTCGACCTGCCGCCTGGAGGTCAGAGAAGATCTTCATCAGAGAACGCGAGAGGCAGAACTGGCAGTTAATGGGAAAAAAGCAACGTTCGAGAAATTGCTCTGAAACAAAGAGCCTTCTACTCGCGTCCGATATGTAGAGGCACGCAAGGCGGCAGCGAAGGAATTGGCGAAAGTCAAAGCTCATTCCTGGGAGAAGTTCAGTGAGGCGTTGGAGTTCAATTTCCACATGGCAAACAATGTATTTTGGAAGACCATCCACCAGCTCCGAGGTGAAAAGAAGGGCAGTCTCACAGTCTTGAAGGACAGATCTGGACACCCTCTTACCAAGGATGATGACATTCTTTGGCGATGGAGGGAGTACTTTGAGGAACTCCTTAACCCTGCGCAACAGCAGGAAGACTCGCCTGTAGACCAGAAGAGTACGGATATTACTATTTCTGTAAATGGAACTGTAGATGCTGTGAAATGCTTGAAAAATGGAACGGCTGCTGAAATTGATGAATTCCGCCCTGAGATGCTCAAGGCATTCGGCGAACGAGACAGGTTCTGGCTTACACGTGTCTGTCAAACTGTGATGATTGCGGGAAAGAGATCAGGGGGCCTGAAGAACGGGAATTATTATACGCGTATTTAAAATGGGAGACCACAAGGAATGTTTCAGTTATGGGGTGATAACGTTATTGAGCCTCCGAGGTAAAGTCTAAGCAAAGGTGTCGCGAAATAGCTGGCCTCACGATACAAGAAAGGTAGTGTGACTTCTCGCCCGGTCGAAGTATCTTTGATCATATATTTGCCCTATGCCAGATTGTTTGGAAATCGTGGGAATACGTCCGTGCGGTGTACATGTGCTTTGCTGAGATAGAGAAAGGCGATGACCGGATTCTACGCAACAGCCTGTGGTCGTGCCTTCGAATATACGGGATAGATGGCCATCTGCTAAGGGCCGTTCAATCGCTGTATTTTGATAGCAGGTGCTGCGTCAGAGTTAATGGCGTTAAGTCGAAACCATTCAACGTTCACTCTGGTCTCCGTCAAAGCTGCGTCCTGTCCCCTACCTGTTTGTGTTGTACTTGGGTAGAATAGTCAGGAGCTGCGAAGGCGATGAGTGTATCGGTGTGGGAGATGTGAAGACGAGAAGGTTCCTGTTTGCAGTCGACCTTGTTTTATTAGCATATTCTAAAACTGATCTTCAGTGCTCCCTAGAAAAGTTGTCAGCTGGAGTGTTGTGACCGGCATGCGTGTGAACGCATCTTATCGAAAAGCCTAGTGCCTTCTCCTTCTCCTGCTGTGGAACAGGTGGAGAAGTTCAAGTATCTCGGAGCTGTATTTACTAGTGATGGAAAAATGGAGGAAGATATCGACAGGCGAATTGAAGTAGCCAGTGGCGTTCTGCGTGAAATAGCCCGAACGGAACTAAGGCAGAGCTCAATCTGAAAACTAAGCTCTCGGTGTTCAAGTCGATCAATATCCCCATGCTTATCCACGGTCATGAGTCTTGGACCATGATTGAAAAACTTCGAACCCGAGTACAATCTGCTGAAATGAGCTTTCTTAGACGAGTCGCTGGCCATATGCGTCTCGATATGGTCCGGAATACTGACATCCTGGGGAACCTTGAAATACGGCGTTTGCTTCTCCAGATCGAGAAGTCACGGCTGCCATGATTTGGCCATGTTTTGCGAATGCCTCCAGAAAGGAAGGCTGTGCGCTATTTTCTGCAAATCCAACCGATAGAAGACCCTGGGAACGGTCAAGACTAGGCGGTGCAAATATATGGAAGGAGTCTGCCCCAGACTTCAGTTGTCTTCTGCCGAAGCTGAGACTGTGGTACACGATCGGAAACTTTGGAA